TAAATATTTTACTGTGTATGCTTCTAATTTTGTGTCATAATTCACTGCCTTTGCTCCATGCCTGAGGAACAGATTTGTGGTTTTTGAACCACTCAGGCATACACAAAAAGTGCTGGTATAAAATCATAGAAGTCTTTAACAACAAAAGTATCAAAATGAGAAGCTATTATTTCTCATCTATCCTCCATCTAGGTCTATACACTTCTGCAGGCGTAGCCGCATCTTTCCCGAAGAAGTCTGTGCTCATCTTCAAAACAGCAGTTATGGAATCCTTGAAATGGTCTTTGAGTTTGGGGAACAAAAAAGAAGTCTGAAGGGGCAAGATTAGAGCTGTAGGGTGGATGGGGAAAGGCTTCTCAATAATTCTCTTGCTGCCCTAGAAAAATTACATTGCTGTGGCTGAAAAAAAACAAAACAAAAAACTTCCTTGGCCCAACTTTACGGATTTTTTCTCACCAAATCAAGTTTTGAATTACTTCAAAGTTCTTCATAATAAGCCCCTGCAATTGTTCTGTATCCTTCAGGAAACTATCAAGATGATCCCTTTGGAATTTCAAAAAACTGTCACCATAGCCTTCTAAGCTGACCTTCTGAAGCTGCTGTTTTGATTGGATGGGCTTATTTTGTTTTGTTTTGAAGGCACCCTGTTATGTATTGAATTGTATTCCCCCAAAACTATGTGTCAGCATGGCTGAACAGGATTCTCGGTGGTTTGGCAGTTATGTGATGATTTCCTAAGATGTGAACTGATGTAATAAACCAATAAAAGGATTAAGAGTGGGATGTTGCTGCTGTTAAGTGCTGTAGCATTGATTCCCACTCATAGGGATCCTGTATGGGTTTCCAAGGAGTAGCTGGTGGTTCACACTGCCAACCTTGGGGTTAGAAGTTCAGTACTTATCCTACAGTATAACATCAGGGCTCTTAATCTGATATGACCTTGGTCAGATTTACTGTATGGGAGAGTCCCAAGGGTGTGACATGTAACACCTTTTCTCTTACAGGAGATACAAGGAGAGACGGAGAGACGGGAGCAGAGAAACAGTGATCTATAAGCCAAGAAAGAAAACCTGGAGTGGAGTGCATCCGTTGGACCTGGGGTCTCTGTACTGTGAAGTTCCTAGATCCAAGGAATGACTGATGTCAAGACAAATGTAATTCTCCAAGAAATATGCTGGGCCTACAGATGATAAAAGGGGACAATGCCTGCCTCCCCAGAGCTGGTACTGTGACTGCAGACTTCTAGCCTCTTGGACTCCTGGTGTGGTGCTGTAGGATCAGCACTGGACTGTGAACCAAAAAGTTGGCAATTCAAATCCACCAGCTACTCCTTGGAAACCCTATACAGGTTTGCTATGAGTCAGAACCAACTCGATGACACTTAACAACACAACAGACTGTGAGAGAACAGATTTTTGTTTGTTACAGCCATCCACTTGTGGTATGTTCATTATAGGAGCTCCTGTAAAGATTAGCAGCCTCAGAAACCCTATTCAGGGTTACTATGAGTCAGAACCGACTCCACGGCACACCACCACCACCACCACTACCACCAGATAACTAATACACACCTTAAAGGGGCTAAACCAAGTCTATTACTGAGAGAAATGTCAGCAGCCCACCACCGATTACAGTCTTGTTTATACAGGTTTTGTTTGACGCAAACCTGTGCATGTATGAACTGGAATGCTAGTAGCACTATTTTCTGACTTACCCTTGTATATAAAGAGATTTCAAGGAAATAGCGCACATGGTTGTGGAGGCTGGCAAGTTCCCAAACCGGAGGTCAGGTATCAGGCTGGATGCTTCTCCAGACTCATGTGGTTGCAGGGGTGATAAATCCAAAATTGGCAGGTCAGATGGCAGGTCAGATGGCAGGCTCATTTTCCAAGAACCAGAGGCCAGAGGATGATGACTGGGATGCAGGATGGAGAGACAGTGAATGTTACTAGAACATTCATATATATATCGTCTGCCTTCTATAAAAAGAGAGAGGGACCTTTATATCTTTGAAAACGATCAACATTTAATAAGAATTACATGATGACTCCAAAAAGGTACTTATATTTAATAATAATAATAAAAAATCTTACTGACAATCTCAAATACAGAATAAGCAAGTAATCATTATTCTGTGATAGTTTCATCCTCATCTTAAAGAGTCAACTGTGCAAGTCTTTTATAATTTTAATAAAATGCGAACTCATAGATTTCATTGAAATATTATCATTAGGAAAACAATTTCCCACACATTGAGCTGGTTTTAACTCCTTTTTATTTGGTTAATGTTGCAAACAACCAAATTTGCTGTTACCAGTGGAATATATTGTGAGAGCAGGAATCTTGATTTTATAAAACAAAGGAAAATTAAAGTAGTTGTTAATAATTAAGAGTACTGGGTAACACAAGATGCAGAGACCAGAGGTTTAACTTTTGATTTAATCATTTACGAGCTATATTCTGTGGCCAAGCCATTTACCTTCTGTGAATTTCATTTTCCTCATTTTTGAAATTCAAGTTATTTTGAGGAGTAAATAATATATGTGCAAGTGTCTTAATAAATAATTTTTTATCTATTAAAACATACACTATTTGGGAAAAGTACCATGAACTGCCCACAGAACAAATCAATCTGTGTTGGAAGAAGTACAGCCAGAATGCTTCTTGGAAGCTAGGATGGCCACACTTCTCTCATACTTCAGACATATGATTATCAGGAGCGACCAGTCCCTCGAGAAGGATATCTTGTTTAGTCAAGTGGAAGGTCAGAGAAAAAAAGGAGGCCCGCCAATTAGATGAATTGGCACAGTGGCAGCAGCAATGGGTTCAGGCATAGCAACAATTGTGAGATTGGTGCAGGACCAGGTGGTGTTTCGTTCTATTGTGCGTAGGGTTGCTGAGTTGGTACTGACTCCATGGCACCTAACAACAATTTGGGATGAACTGAGAAGGCAGATGCCATTCTTTGTTAAACCCTACAAGATATCTCATAGAGAACTGGAAAGGACCTTAGACTTCATGAGGAAATTGCTCTTCCTAGAGGGTAAATGACTTGGGACTTGTCCTGGTCTAAGGTCAACAGAACTGGTTAGCGACAACTAGAATCTAGGTCTCCTGACTCTACCCCCATTACTGGTCTTTCATTCATTCAATACATTTTTAAGGAGAATAAGCTCATTGCAAAACACTGTGCTAGTTTTTTGGGTGATTCTCATGGATTCCCGATCTTTCCCTCAAGACCTAAGCATAAATGAATGGGTCAGAAAAGTCTGAATAAACTCCTAGTATTCTGTGACGTGATGGGAGAATTGTTGGAAGAACTGCCAATTCAGCTGTGTTCTACAAGCAGATAGGATTTGGTACTGTACCAGAGTCCCAGAGTTTAGAGCAGTCAGTCCAGTGGGAAAACACTGAGACTACGCAGTCTTCCGTATCAATCACTGAGTGGGATGCAAGAGCTCTAATTAAGGGGCTAAAGGTAGTTTCCTCATTTTCAACAGCGGCCGTCTCTCACCCTATGACTTTTCCTGTCTCAGAACATTTGTGTGGGACATGATTCCTGGATCTTCGCCCAGCGCCTTGTCCACCCCTCTGGGGCACTGATGACAACCTCTTTCTTCTTTTCTGCCCCTCCTCTTCTTCTCAAGTTCTTGAGAAAATAGGGGGCCAGTCTTTCAGGCATTATCTTTAGTTGGAGCACAGTGCCAGACACGTAGCTCCCTAACAAGTTTGGGTGAAGGAAAGCCACACCTGGCCCACTGTCTCAGCCTTCTGGCAAACAGGTTCTTTCCGGTTTGTCACGTTTCTTCTGCACTCAGAGTTCTTTCCACTGACCTCTACCTACACAGAAAAGTCTGTGTTGGACTCATCTCTGTGCCCCGGGGCCGGCACGTAGTAAGCGTTACATAAATGCTGGCGGAGCGAAGGGAAGCATTTAGGTATCAGGTGGCGATTTTGAGGGAGAGTTTGCACAGAAGAAGCTCTCGAGCACCTCCGCGACTGAGGCTACCGCCAAGCCACGACCCCTCAGCCAGGGACACAACACGAGGCCCTGGCCCCACCCCAGGCTCGAGCCTACAGGAGCCTTCCTCTCAGTCCCATCAGCCGGCAGAAGCCCCAGCCCCACGCCCCCACCCAACACACCACGCAACATCGCCCTAGCGCCTCAGTGAGCGTCACCGTGCGGGCTTCGCCGCCTGCCATTGGCCCATCACGGCATAGCGCCATCTCGGCCTACCACGCGGCACGCTCCCTCATTGGTCAACGGCGGCAGCGGTGGGCGGGATCTCCTCTTGGAGCCACACCCCCTGGTCCCTGCCTAGGCGGTGTGAGGTGTGTGGAGGGGGCAGGGTGGCCCGGCAGCTGAGGCAAGAGGGGTTACGCTGCGAGCCCAGAGCGCGCGGCGGTTACTCTGGTTACTTGGTTACTGCTGAAGCGCCGCCAGGGAGGACGCAGCCGCCCGCGAGATGCTGTGAGGAGGCCGCCCTCTGAAGGAAAATCTTCAGACACCTCCGGTTCCCAGCGGGCTGCAGCGTTGTGGACTGGAAGGTTCGGGGCTGGGGAGTCGGGAGCCACTGCTGTGGGGAAAGACGCGGGAGAGTGGCCGGGCTTGCCGAGGCGGAATCTTGACTCCGAGGCCATCTTTTGTTTGAGAGGGAAGCCCCGTGGGGCATCTCTGTGGAGTGAGCGAGGCTGATTCTCTGTAGATATTTCCTTCCTCTGGTGACGGACCGCACGCCGAGCTACCACCAACTTAGGAAGCCCCCCGGAAAAGGGAAGCATGGGTCCCCGGAAGGTTGCGAGAGTCTGACCAGCGGGATTGTCACCTGGGGTCTTTCTCCACTGACTCTGTAGATGACCCTGATCCCCTTGTCGTCCGCGCTGACCCTCCACACCCCCTGTGCTCCCATAGTTTAGGGGAGCCTCGAATGACCAACGCCCCCTCCCCGGGAAACTGAGATTCTCCCCAGTGACCGGTGCCGCCCCAGCCGCCTGCAGCCATGTGGACCTTCCTGGGCATCGCCACCTTCACCTACGTCTATAAGAAGTGCGGGGACTTGGTCACCCTGGCCAACAAGGAGTTGTTGCTGGGTGGGCTGCTCTTCCTGTCCCTGGGCCTGCTGCTCTCCTACCGCTGTCGCCAGCGCCCCCAGGGTCCCCTCGGGCGGAAGCAGAGCCAGCCCCACTTCTCCCTCGCTGCAGTGCTGGCCGCCCTGCCTTTCGTCGGCGTCTTCTGGGCCAATTCCCCCCCTGCATCCGAAACGAAAGAGCAGCTCGAGGCCGGAAGGGTAGGTTGGAGCCCTGGGGGCCAGATGGATGGATTTCTTCTTTGAAAATGAGTCGATTCTGACTCCTAACGACCTGAAAGGACAGAAGAGAAATGCCCCATAGGGTTTTCAGGGCAGTCACTAGGTGATGTGGTGGGTTAAGCGGTGCCCCAACTGCCAAGGTCGGTGGTTCAAACCCACCTTCCGCTCCGAGGGAGAAAACTGAAGCCACTCCCATAAAGCTCTCTGGTAGCGTAGTGGTTACGAATCTGGCTGCGAACCTTAAGGTCAGCAGTTTGAAACTACCAGCGGTTCCACGGGAGAAAGATGAGGCTTTCTGCTCCCGTAAAGATTTACAGCCTCGGAAACCCTGTACAGGGTCGCTATGAGTCGGAACCGACTCCACAGCACATAGCCACCACCACCACTCCCATAAAGGTGTGCAGTCTGGGAAACCCTCTAATGGGGTCGGGGTCCAAGTGGACTTGATGGAAGTGGGTTAATCTTTGGGGAAGACGACTGCCAGCTCGCCCGCCGCTGTAGACCGGGTGGGTTGGGTTCCTACGGCCCAAGTTTGGTTAGCAGCAGCCACATGCTTTAACCGCTGTGTCACCAGGGCCCATAAATTCGTGTTCCCCCCCTTCAACTCTACTTCCTCTTTAAAAGGGCAAAAAGTGTGAGTTTAGATACTCCAGTGTAGGTACATTCTCATTTACTTGGAAGCTCTTGGCGCTTCCTCGGGAGTGGCTGGAAAAATGTGTTTCTTGTAGAACTGGTTGAGTGTCAGATGAAGGTGGAAAATGGATTTGATTGTGGAAGGTGAAATCAAACTTTAGGATTCCATTTTGAAGGAAGACAGAATTACTTTCTGATGAAGGAAAAAAAACAAAAACCAACCAAAGCTTTTTGCCTTTAAATCCTTGGGGAAGGATTGTGTTTGTACCTGAGAAGAAGGCCAGGTCCATTGCTGAGGTGACACTGGCTGGGGAAAGGACACACTGAAAAGCAGACAGGGTCAAAGGGCTCACCATTTGAGAGCTGAGGGCGAAAAGTCCCATGGTGCAGTGATGTTCCTAAGTCAGAGGCCAAGTCTGCACATACCTGGGGTGAGGTTAGGATCTCCGTGTGGACCAGAAGAGGTCCCTTCCTTCCAGAAGGAAGGAAATGGGGGGTGGGGGTGGGGTGACCCAAGGCCCTATCAGTTAGGGTCTGTCTGCTATGGGAGTTAGGGATGTTTTACCAAAAGCTATGGAGGCTTTCATACCTGGGAGTCGCAAAAATTGATTTTTGTGTTTTGAAGAGAACATTCTAGTTGCTGTATGGAGAATGCATTATAGGCAGCCAGGGAGATCAGACATTAGGTCAAGTGAGGGATGTTCGTGACTTGAGCTAAGGGTGAGTGGGCCATGAAGTAATTTATCTTTTTTCTGGATCTACCTTGAGGCCTTGGGCCAACTACTTAATTTATATAAGAATCAGTTACCTCTTCTTAGCTGGGTACCACCCCAATCTTCTATGTAGTTAGGAAATTAAATGATTTCATGTTTGCTGAATGCCTGGTCCATAGCTGAGTAATTAATAGTAGCTGTTAGCATTAGTCTAATCTATATCTGTTGCTAGTCTTTTAAGCACAGAATGTATTTAGTGGTATGGCTTGTGGATTGGCATGGGAGAGGAAGCAGAAGGCATCCTTAATTCTTAGTTTGAGAATTCAGGAATATTGTTGTCTGAGGTCACTTCCCTCAGGGCCACCCAGCTTGGCCAGGTAGCTGGAAAGCCATCAGTGCAATCAATCATGTTGTGCAGAGAAGTTTGGGGGCAGGAAAATAGGAACAGCAGCAGTCCACATTGGGACCACTTTGTGAATGCCCCAGGCTCTCTGCTGATTTCCTAACCAGGGAGTTTTTACACTGTCATCTGTTGGGTGCTTCCTCTACTGACCAGGCTCTGAAAAACGTAATTGCCTCCAGAATTCTCCGTCCAGAATGTGTGTGTGTTTAACAGGGAAAACTTAGGAAGAAAAGTTCATTAGAATTGACTTAAGCTGACAAAATGGACTCATCTTGTACCCAGAACAGTAATTTAAGTCTATTCTGGCCAGACTCTTGGGGAGTACAGACAATTGTTTCCTTTCCTTAGCAAGCAACAAAAAGTTGCTTATTGTTGTTAAGTGTGTGTAGTCCATGGAGTCAGTTCTGACCCTTAGCAACCCTGGGTAGGGTTTCCAAGGATCAGCTGGTGAACTTGAACCTCTGACGTTGTAGTCCAGTGCATTAACCCACAGCACCACACCAGGACTCCAGAAAGTTGCTTAGACAAATGATAAAAAATGGAATGGACAAATCCATCATAGGGGTAAAAGAAGACTGAGCTGATGTTGTTACTGAGTTGATTCTAACTCATTGACTCCTTTTGAAATCACAAGAGAATTAAAGTTCTAAAGGTCTTAGGGTTAATCTTCCTTTATGAGGGAGTTCTTTGATTAAAACCTCATTAAAGAACATCTATTCTTCTTTTAATCATTAAGGTCAAAGAACTCAGGAAGATGGTTCTTTGCAAATCTACAACTGAAATGTTTCCACATTTGTGAATCTATCCACCAAGAACAAATGCCACAAGATTGAATTTTCATTAAGGGGAAGGAACCCAGCAACACAAACAGGCATTGCTGCTCTTGATGGGTATAAATCTCAAATAGGACTTTTGCATCTTCTGGTGAAATTTTAAGTTTTCCTGTCAGCCCAAACTGGTGGGGTTTAATATTTATCCTTGTTTCGAATATAAGGACCAGACTTTTGGAGGCTCAGAAAAGGGGGAAAGAAAGGGTTAAATTAAATGTCTTTTATGTTAAGACATATTTAAATGCTAACAGCTAAAATTGTAAATCCCAGGGCGTAGTATGAGTTATTTTTGTTCTTTTGGAATTTTGTTGATCCTTAATTAATAAATCAATAGCCAGCGTTTAAAAATCTTTTTGTTAAATAAGTGATTTTAGATTAAGGTCAGTTTTCTAAATGAAACGCCAGAAGGAGAAAATGAAGGTGACTAGTGTAACTGTCAAAAAGGTACTGCATAGTTTGCAATATAAAGTCAGCAGAAGTTATAAGTTATTTGCAGCTGGAGGTGCTCAGTACATATTTGAAGAATTGAGTAATAGAAATTTCCTTGTAAGTCTTTGAAGCCCCTTATAGATGGTTCTTATATTTGGCTTGGTGTGGATTTCAAGTGTTTTGTGTGACAATATTTTCTGAATTCCAGGTGAAAAGAAAATACTTCTTTAGTTTTATTGAGATAGTGTGCATTTTTTGATTGAGCCAATATTCTGATACCTGATTTGGATATATTAACTGGATTTAAAAATGATAAAAGTTAATTTGTTGGGTAATATTTAAGTTTTAGCTTTTTTTCAAGATGCAAAAGTCCATTGTGTCTATATAGTAGTAATAATAAATGTGGAAAGTAACTTACTTATTATTATTTTAAAAACAGCATAAAAAAGGAGTAAATATTTCAGAAACAAACTTACTAGGAGCAACAGTAACATCTCCGACTGATCCAGAAATTATCATCGTGGGATCTGGTGTACTTGGCTCTGCTTTAGCCTCAGTGCTTTCCAGAGATGGAAGAAAAGTGACAGTAATTGAGAGAGATTTAAAAGAGCCTGACAGAATAGTCGGAGAATTTCTGCAGCCAGGTGGCTATCATGTCCTTAAAGACCTTGGTCTTGAAGGTAGGTTTGTGTTGATTTTAAAGGAGTTATTTGGTATAAGGAAACACTAGACTGTCCTGTTGTTTGTTAAATGCTGTCAAGTTGTTCAGATTCATAGCATCCCCGTGTAGAATTTCTGAGGAGCTGCTGGTAGGTTTGAACTGTGGACCTTGTGGTTCGCAGTCTAGTGCTGATCCGACAGGGCCACACCAGGAGTCCAGACTGTCTTAGGACTAAATAGAAAGTATTCCATTTTGTTTTCATTTACAAAGAGTTACTCTGTTCTACCAACATCAGTTACCAGTGAATTTTCCAGTTTACAAAATTACCAATGGATTTTCATGAAAATAAAAGCAAAAGCAAAAAAAAAAAAAAAAGAAAAAAGCATTTAGTCATATAAGAAGAAATGAAGTAGACTTAATGAAATCGAAAGAAGTACTTAAAACTGTACCGGTCAGAATAAAGGCCCTAGAAAGCGCCCAGAGTGAGGGCATGCTCCTCTACCAACGGTTCTAATCTAGAACTTTCATGTAGCCATCATTTCCCCATCCTACCAATGTTGTTTAAGCAGGAGCTGTGCATTTGGTAAATGTTTATCACTGCCTATTTTGTGTGAGGTGCTGTACTTGGTGCTGAGGGTAAAATGGGGAACAAGACAGAAACTCTTCTCTCGAGAGCAGGCTAGAAAACATACCCAAGCTGTGAGGTTAGAAGGAACTTGCTGGTGGTATATTATAGGCAGTATGGTGTGGTAGATATGGGTGTTGATTGTAGAGACAGAGTGCCTGAGTTTTAATACCAGCTCTGGCACCTAAAACATTGTGATATCGGGCAAGTTACTTAACCTCCTATGAATCAGTTTCCTCATCTGTACAATGTAGACATGAAGATTCTCCAGCTCAGAGGTTATGAGGATGAAGTGAATTTGTACCCAGAAAATGTTCAGTACAGTGCCCGGTAAACAGTAGGCACTAAATAAATGTTTTCTATTTTATTATTCAAGAAACTGTAAAGGAGATAAAAAAATACAAAGTAGTGGATTATAGGGAAAGCAGAGTGACTTGAGATGAAGGTTGGAGAGGTAAGCAGCAGCCAGATGGTTTTATTTTTAAAGTATATGTGATTCACCCAATTACACAAGTCACAATTTGAAATTCATTTTGTAATTCACATGTGGATCACACCTTGTAATTGGTAGAATGCTACTTAACAACAACAACAAATAAATGTGGACACAATGTTGAGAATAGACTGAAGATTGTACCAGTGGGGTAACTACATCTGATCTACAATGTGTAGCAAGAGTTTCCTTGTTAATTCCAGATGACAGGTGATTGTGGTTTGAAGGAGCCTGGTAGCAGCGGATATAAGCAAAGTGGACAGAGTCCTAAAATGAAGAGGCAGAATGGCCTGATTTACTAAGGATTAGATGTGAGACAGGAAAAAGACGGCAGTATCAAAGATGATTCCTTGATCTTTGGCTTGGGTAACTGGTAGATGGTGGCACTATTTGCTGATAAGATTTGGGGAAAGAGGTGTGGGAGGAAATTTTGAAGAAACTGTTGAGATGTCCAAGTGGAACTATCAAGTTGAATATCTGAATCTAGAACTTAGAGGAGTAGTTTTGGTTGGCTGGAGTTAAAAATTTGGATGTCAGTGTATTTGTAGTATTTAAAAGCCATGACAATGATTGAGGTCAACTAAGGAGAGACTGTAAGGAGAATGAAATAAGTCCTGGTAAATTTTGATATTCACAGATTGGGTAGAAGAAGAAAAGCCTGTAGAAGGCTCAGAAGGAACTGGCTGAATGGTAGAAGTAAGCCATTGTTTGGGGTGACTTAATCCAAGAGAAGAGAGTGTTGTAATAGGGGAAAATAGATGTGAGTCCAGAAAGGAAAGAGCAACTGTGCCATGGATTTGCTAATGAATGGGCAGGTAAGATGAGTATAGAAAGGTAACCATGAGATTTGGCAATGTGAAGGTGATTGGTGACCTTGATAAGGTGTTTCCGTGGAGTTGGGGTAAAACCTAGAGAGAGGTAAGTGGGAGATAGAAGATTTTGAGACAAGAGAAAAACTCTTTGAATTTGTTTTTGATAGAAACTGTAAGTAGGGCAGGAAGGAGGTAGGGATGCCAGGACAGAACAGGCATATTTGTTACTAGAGCTCAAATGTATGGTGATGAGGATGAAACAGTACAGAGGAGACCCTGAGGATGCCAGCCAGGGAGGGCGCGACCAAAGGTGTGTCATTCATTTGACACAAATTTTTTTAGCATTGAACAAATAAAATGGTAGGTACTGTTCTGGATGCTGAGGCTAGAATAGTGAACACAACAGGCAAAAATTCCAGCCCTTACAGAGCATATATTCTAGTGTGTGTGTGTGTGTGTGTGATTGCTCTTGTTGTTGTTAAGTGCCATTCAGTCGGTTCTGACATATACTGACCCTGTAAGGAGCTCTGGTAGCGTAATGGTTACAAATTAGGCTCCTAATCTCACAGTCAACAGTTTGAAACTACCTATTGTTTTGCGGGAGAAAGATGAAACTTTCTCCGTCTTTCTGCGCCTGTAAAGGTTTACAGCCTCGGAAACCCTGTGCAGGGTTGCTATGAGTCGGGAAGGACTCCACAGTACTTAACAACAACAACGGGATTCCTAAGGAGCAGCTGGTGACTTTGAACTGCCAACCTTGTGGTTCCAGTGCTTACCCTACAGCACCACACCAGGGTGGGTGGGGATGGTAGTGGTTGGTGATTAAATGTTGTAGCGTTGGTTCTGACTCATAGCAACCCTGCATTAGGGTTTCCGAGGCAATAAATCTTTACAGGAGCAGAAAGTCTCACCTTTCTCCTGAGTAATGGCGGTAGTTTCGCACAAATAACCACAAGACTACCAGAGCTCCGTAGGGAGGGGAGAAAGGATGCTAAATAAACAGGTGTAGAAAATGCAATCGGGAGTTGGATGTAATTTTAAATGGAGTGGTTGGGGACGGCCTCATTGAGAAAACAATGTTTGAGTGAAAAAGTAAAAAGGTGAGGGAGCAAGTGAAGGAGTTCTGAGGGTTATTGATTGGTAATTGACGAGGGTGCTTCCCATGGAAAAGTCCTGTGGGAGGGGTGGGGCTGCTTTGTTGAAGAATGAGGCAGAAGAGAGGTAGAGACTGGGGTGGCTGAATGAGAAGGGAGTTAAGAGACGTCAAATCAGCTAAAGGAGAACCGAATTGTGTAGGGCTTTGTTTGTGGTATGTCATCAAAAAATCTCCCATCGCTCCAAAGGGAAGCCATTGAACAATTTAGGAAAGGAGTTATAAAAGTTACTTAGACTTTAAACTATGATCCAAAGCATTGTTAGTATGTTGTTGTTGTTGTTGTTAAGTGCCGTCGAGTCGGTTCCGACCCATAGCGACCCTGTACAGGGTTTCCGAGGGTGTAAATCTTTACGGGAGTAGAAAGCCTCATCTTTCTCCCGCGGAGCGGCTGGTAGTTTCGAACTGCTGACCTTAAGGTTCGCAGCCCGATTCGTAACCACTACGCTATATGGAAAAGAAAATAGTAGATAAGATGGCAAAGGCTTTAGGAGCGTGGAACATGGTGATGGCAGGAGAGGTGTGGGAAGTGGTCACATTATGGAAGAACCAGTAGGACTTGCTGATGGAACAAGTGTTTGTTGTTGTTAAGTGCCTTCCACAGGGTTCTGACTCTTAGGGACCCTGTATAAGGTTTCTGAGGAGTAGCTGGTGGGTTTGAACTGTCAACTTATAGTTCAAACTGACCTTGTAGTCCAGTGCTTATCCTATAGTGCCACACCATGACTATGAGAAAATGAGGAGGCATAGTATTTAAATGAGACTTCCCAGGTGGGGTGCTGTAGGAAACGTGAGCCCTTATCCTACATGTTGGACTGCTAACCCAAGGTCAGCAGTTCAAATTCACCAGCCACCCTGCAGGAGAGGGATGAGGCTTTGTGTTCTCGTGAAGATTGACAGCCTCAGAAACCCTATACAGGGCCGTTCAGAGTCGGAAATGACTCAGCGACACACAACAGGCACAGTAGGGTAAGCTCGGGACTGCTGATGGAAAAGGGTGGTGGTTCAAGCCCATCAGCTGTTCCTCCTACAGGGTTGCTTTGAGTCAGAACCAACTTGACAGAACTTAACAACAACAGTTCTGGTGTAGCTCTAGGATTAGGTCAGGAGTTCAAACCTACTAGTTGCTCCTCGGAAACCTTACACAGGGTCACTGTTGAGTTGGAACAGACTCTACAGCACTTACCAACAACAGTAGACAAAATTAAGAAGAGATCCCAAACTGAACCCTGGGGTACGCGCATGGATAGATCAAGAAGGTAAGTGGGAGCCACAACAGGCTGAGAAGGAACAGGGGAGAAGAGGAAGTGTGAGTGCTTGCAGGGTGTGGGAAGTCAAGTGCCAAGTTTTCTAGATGAAAGGAGTGATTGTCAGCCATGGCTTCCACTGCTGAGAACTGGAATAAGCTGAACCCCAGATCCAGCAGTGTGGAAGTCAAGTGGAATTGTAGGAATGAAAGCTGGTTTGAATCACATCTCTTTAGAGGAGCTTTGCCTAAAGGAGCAAGAAAAGTGTGGTAACTGGAGGTGGTAGTGGATTTTTGTTTTAAATGAACGTTAGGAAATAACCCTACCCTTCAAGTTTGCAGTGGGAAATCAGGTTTTCTTGTCTTTAGTCTTTACAGATCAATTGTTTTTAAAGAGTTTCTATTCCATTTTTGTTTTTCTATTATTGTGCCGATACTTGTTAAGTGCCCATCAAGTCATTACTATAATGAGTCATACTTTGAAAAACGAAGGACCAAATGTATTACTGTGTCCTTATAGGCAAAGCAGGTTTACTCAGTAGAGGATTGTGACTTATTTCAAATTGCATCGTCTTGCTTGTCTTTCTGAGGTAATGTGGAATTACAGACCTGATCTCATTTCATGTAATGAAACATTTTCAAGTAGTATTACAGATTTGCCATTGTTCTCAGAGCGTTAAGAATTTTGAAATAGTTATATTGTCCAGTTTTCCAAACAGTATTATACTGTGAAGGCAGGAAATAGTTTTATATGCTTTTGTGTCCTTCTTGATGCCTAGTAAAATTTTGGACATATAAACAGAATTGATTGTTTTGAACTGAATTGATTTGCAGATACAGTGGGAGGTTTTGATGCCCAGGTTATAAATGGCTACATAATCCATGATCATGAAAGCAAATCAGAGGTTCAGATTCCCTTTCCTCTGTCAGAAGACAGTCAGGTGCTGAGTGGAAGAGCTTTCCATCATGGAAGATTCATCACGAGTCTCCGGAAAGCAGCCATGGCTGAATCCAAGTAAGACCACAGCTTCAAATGTAGAGCCTTAAATAATTGAACACCTTTAATTTTGGCTTCTATGTAAATAAATGCTATTGTATAAATTTTCATAAGTTTTGAATATGGGCTAGAACATCAGTAATATACTAAAATAAACCATAAGTTAGAAAAAAGTGTTAGATCTTTGTTGCTTTTAAGAATATTATATACAGAATTTTCCTTTGACTAAATTATGTGGAAGAATTTAGAAGATCTAGTTGTTACAGCTAATGAGTATGTCCATGTGTGCTATTTGGAAACTTGGGTTTGTGGTTATGATATCTTCTGTTAAGAGAAAGTTCCTGCCCCATTTTTTTTTTT